ACACCCAGGACAGGGGGCAGGAGGGCGTGCAGACCAGGGCAGGGATAGCAACTTTAACCAATGATGGAGAAGGTTCTGGACTCCCGACCCATAAAGATCTGCGGTCTGGAGTTGTAGCTGCACCAGATCAAACCACATCCTGGTCGTCTGTTTCATGGTGTCTTGACGTTTGCCCTCCCTGGTACTTGAATTCTTCTCTCCTTCCCCAGGGGGTGCCCTGGATCTTACGGACATGGGGAACCACCGGATGTTGCAGGCAGGAGGGTGCAGCCTGACAAAGAGAAGACTGGTACGGACAACCTGGGGAGGAGAGCATCTTAGACCATGTAAACACCTTAATCAAACACAGAGACGTTTGGGGAATCTCACTGCCCGTCTCTGTGGTTCATGAGTCTCGTGAGAATACAAGATCCCCCTATGTTACTGCAAACCAGCTTTGATTTGTTAAAAGTTACCCCAGGACCCTAAAGGGCCACATCCACGGGGAGGGGGTCCTAGCACCCATAAGATCAGTTCTCGAAAGAAGAAGAGTTTCTTAGGCGTCTCCCTCCCAAGCACCCGGTGTAGCATTTGACCATGACAACATTCATTCATTCATTCCTTCAGCGAATACATTTGCCTACTGCTTTAGTTTCCTGCGGCTGCCATCACAAAGTGCCACAAACTGGGTGGCTTAAAACAACAGAAACTTATTTTCTTGCAGTACTGGAGGCCAGACTTCAAGACCCAAGTGTCCAGGGCCTTGTCATATCCGAAATCATGGGTAGGGTCCTTCCTGCCTCTCCTGGCTTCTGCGGTGACTGTGGATCCTTGGGGTCCCCTGGTGGCTCCCGGCACAGCACTCCCATCCCTGCCTCTGTCACCACAGGGCTCCTACCTGTGTGTCCCTGTCCACATTTCTCTCTTCTTATAAGGACACCAGTCATATTGGATTGGGGCCCACCCTAATGACCTTGTGTGAAACCTGATTACACCTGCAAATACATGGGGACATGTCACATGACAAAGTAAGGTCACATTCACAGGTACCGGGGTTTGGACTTGGACACACCTTTCTGGGGACAATTCAATCTGTGACACCTTCCATGTCCCAAGCCAGCTGATAGGCACCGAGGAAAACACCTGTTAACTGGGTGACTTCACGCTTCCGCCCCACTGCAATCCTTTGTACAGAACACTTCACTCCTTCACCCCGCCAGGATCTGATCGACCCTGTCGGGAGCATGCTGGTGAGGGGCTGAGCTGCCACCCCCATCCCAGGCTTGCCGGGCACGCCCACCTCACCTCCGCTGGCTGCGTGAGCTCCAGACTCACCTGCCCGGCGCAGCCCCTGGCGGGCCTCGCGGCTCATCAGTAACCAGGAAAGGAGCAGCGGGCAGAATAAATCTTGCCTCGAAATTAATGTAGCTCAGGGAAAAAAGTACATTTACTCATTTCAACTTCTTGTTGCAAGACTCATAAGTGAATAAACCCAAAATAAATGTAGCCGGGACGAAGGGAGAAGCCACGATAAATGCAATCCCGTCGCCCTAAATGAAGACAAAGGCTTCAAGACAGTATTAAATTCCATCCCCAAAGGCTCATTTCATTTCAGACCCAGATTTCCACAAAATCGAGTTTTCCAGCCGAGCCGAGCCCCCCTTCTGCTCCTGGCCTCCTCTTCCCCCACGCCCTCCCCCTGTAAATAAGTCGTTTTTCCTCCCCCTTCCTGCCAGTCTCCTGGCGGTCTGGGCCACGAGGGTTTCCTGCGCTGTCGGCTCACGTGCCAGCAGGCCACGGAACTCCCAGACGTGGCAGACGCCTCGGCTCACAGACGAGCAGCTTCAGCCGCACACTGGGACCCACGGCATCCGCCTGGACTTCCGGGATTTGCACGTCCTGATCCGCACCCCGGGTGGGCTGTGAGCAGGGACACCCTCACCTGTGTGTGTCTCCACAAATGATCTGGACCTGGGAGGTTGGGGGTTTGGTCCCGAGGGTGGAAGGCCAGATGCTCAAGGCAAAATGGTTACACCTGGGGCGCAGGCCGGCCCACGAAACGCGTGATCTTGTTTCACCTTAACCTGGAAACTGCAGAGCTCGTCCCTGCCCTGCGGTCCACAGACCCAGAGTCTGGACATCGTTGGGGTAGGGGACCCCGGGGGCAGCGAGTACAGAGAGAGGGGCAGGGGGAGTCTCTCTTCTCAGGAGGGTCCCAGCTTGTGTGGGAAGACCCGTCCCCTGTGCCAGGGAGGGGGTACCCAGCCTCTGTCTACAGAGGGTCAGCTCCCCCAGGCAGGGTGGGGACTGCATGGGACTTCCCAGCGGACCCCGCACGTGCAGGGCACTGACACATCCTTGTTGAATTGATTTCAACTGCCCTCGATGGCCACTTCCCTGCCCCCGGTGACGCTGCCGGCCAGGCTATCTCGGGAAGATTGTCTGGTCCATCTGACTCTCCAAGCCGGGCTGAGCATTTCACCATCTTAATGGTTAAACGGAACTGACTGCATGCTGGGTGTGCGGTGAACCGTTTTCAGGGAATCCAATGAGATCCCTGACGGAGCTGACGGATGTCCGTCACCCGTGCCAACAGTTATGTCTTTGCGTCGGAATTCTGCCAACGCCAAGAACTTTGACAGCTGGACCCACCCCGGCCCTCCCCTTCCTGGGTCCCTGCTGTAGATATTAATCTTTCTCCTGCTGCTAGGGATAGTTTTACTTTTAACAATGGTATCAGCTGCCGTACATCAGCACCTGCTCCGTGCCAGCTCCTCTCGAAGGTTTATCAATCTGTTCACTCACTGAATCTTGTCTGAACGCCTCCCGTTCGCCCGGTCCTGCTTTAGTAGTGCTGGGATGGCTCCGGCGTCGTGAAGTTTCCATTCCGGAGCGGGGTAGTATATTCTATTTTATTCTATTATGCTGTAGTGGAGGGAGTTATATTATTTATATGGTAACATATACAAGTTATATTATACTGTATGAAGTTTGTTTTGTTTTGTCACGTTATATCATATCACATTATATTGTATCGTTCCCATTTAGCCCTCAGGCAGCCCTGCCGGGGAGATAATTTTACCCTCATTTTAAAGTGGAGAAGCCAAGCTCAGAGATACAGGTGACTCGCTAAGCGCCCCGCCCCCTACCTGTGAGCAAGGTGTCACAGGTGTCGTCTATGAGCAAGGTGGGGGTGGGTGGGACAGGAGGGATTTGAACCCGAGAGTGCGACCTCACGGCTCCAAACCTCAGCTCTTCCACCTGCAGTGTGGCGCTCACGGAGTTTCCCTCCTGGGGGGCTCTAAGACCCACGTGGGCGACGCATGCTCTGCACCTAGCCCGGCCCTGACCTGCCATTGGTGCCTGGTGACAGCCGCCCTCAGCTGTGGGCGTGGGTGTGGCCATTACCAGGCAGACTGCAGAGATGCCCCGCGGCAGGTGACTTGGGGATCAGACATTCCCCCCTGCTGCCAAGACTGGGCCAGAACCCAGAGCCCCAGGGAGGGAAGCGTGGGAAGGGTGGGGGAGGGGAGGACCAACCCCTCCGTCTCATTGGCGTTCACTTGTTCCCGGGGTGGGCGGCCACAGGTGTCCAGGCTGAGAGCTTGGCCCTGGGCCTGGACTGCTGGGTTCCACCTGTGACCGGGGCAAACTGCATCCCTTGCCGTGGCTCACCTGTGAAGTGAGGTGCCACGCCCTGTGGTTACTGGGAGGGTCCTTGCCCGAGCCTCTGCCAAACTCTCTGGGGACAGAGCTCCAGGAGCCCACCCTTGGCTCCTCGCTCCCCGCAGAGGACCCCTTGGGCTCACCTGGGCGGCGCAGGTGGCTGGCTGCGGCACACAGTGTCAGGATCACAGCCCTGACCACCCGCTTCCAGTTCCTGAAATCAGACTTTTATTTCATTTTTTTCATTTTTAGTTTATTTTCACGAGTCAGTAGTTTTTAGTATATCCACAAAGTTGTGAACCCATCATTGCAATCAATTTTAGAACACTTCATCACGCCAGAAAGAAACCGCACCGTTTAGCTGCCACCCCCTCCCCAGTCCCTCCTCCCCCCAGGCCCTGGCAACCGTTAATCTACTTGCCGTCTCTGCAGAATTGCCCTTCCAGACACTTCTTATAAATGGACTCGTGTGCTACGTGGTCTTTTGTGACTGGCTTCTTTGGATTGATGGTACAGAGTCCCACGTGGACAGAGTCAGGAAGGGATCTCCCAGACCACGGAACCAAACCCTTCACACTTCAGAAGGGAAGTGAGGCCCAGAGAGGGGCGGTCGCTCGACCACCACCAGGGACAGGATTAGAACTTGGGTCTCCGGACATCCAGTCTGACCTGCCCTCCTCCACTCCCCCAGGCAGCTGGGGCGGAAGCTGCCTAAAGACACGACCTCTGAGAAGAGAACAAGTTCCCTGGTGCGGCAGTAGAAAAGTGGTTGCATTCATTTGCTCATTCATTCATTCATTCACCCACGTGTCCATTGTCACCAGCAAACGTTTATTGTGGATCAGTAGCATGACAGGCTCTGTGGAAGGTGCTGGAAAGACAGAGGAGAACAAGATAGAGAGGCCAGCCCTTGAGGCTTACAGACAATAAACACGGAAACAGACACACATGCAAAGGGAGCTGGCAGGGTGCAACAGCGCTGTGCACGGCGTGAAAGAGGGAAGAGAGAGACCGGCCAGGGGGACGCGGCCACTGCAGCCTGGGGCGCCAGAGAAGGCTCTCGGAGGAGGGGGGTTTGGTGCGTGCGGAGGAGGCAGCTGCGCCCAGTCTCAGGGAAGAGCGATCTAAGAAGAAGGCACCAAGTTTGGGCTGAGTGTGGCGTGGACGGGGGCAGGAGGTGAGGTCTGCTGTCCCCTGGACTCTCCGGGTCCATTTCTGCACCCTCATGCCAGTGCTCGCCTGTGCTGGGGTGTCCTCCGCTGCCCTGGAGGGCAGAGTCCAAGTCACAGGGACCCCCAAATGCCCGGTGCCCGGCGTGGGGCGTGGCTCCACCAGGAGTCTGGTCGGAGTTTGAACTGACAGTGTCGCAAGCATCCGGGTGGTCGGTCGTCCTGACAACGGGTTTGCGTGGGGGGGGGCGGGAGGCAGCTGTGGACCCACAAGGGTGTCAGGAGAGGGGTCCCGGGGAAATGGCGCAGAACTGGTCCCCCAAGACTCGCTGTGCCCCGTGAGCTCGCCTGCTCCCGTCCTTCCCCGTGTCCTTGCCGTTCCGTCACTTCTCCTTGAGAACCAAGTTGTTTGGAAGGAAGAAAACCAGTTGCATAACGGCGTCCATCGGCAGGCGCGTTCTAATTTTAAAAAATGTGTCACTCTCCAAGCTGCGCAGCCCTTAATCAGGCAATTACTTTATGATGCCGTATAGTCAAGGGGGAGGAGGAAGAGGGAAAAAACCACCAACCCTTGAAATCTCAAACAATTTCTTAGGAGAATTAATTTGGTAAATGTTTGACTTGAGCTCAAGGATGTCTTTTGTTTCCATTTCTAAATGACAAAGGGACACAAAAGAAAGGTAATAATTTGGTATTAATCAATCCTCTTCATTAAAATTAGCTCCCCAAACCGAGGGTGTCATGGAAACAGCGAATGTCGGGAGAAGGGCTTGGGGGCCGGACAAGGAGTGGGGACAGGGCCGTTGTGCAGGCAGGGCCCGGGGACTGGGGACAGGCCAGACTGGGTGTGCTGGCCCTGGAAATAGCTTCCAGCCCCTGTTCCCGGCCTTTTCAAACTTCCCGTCCTTTTGTACCCAGAGCAATCTGCTCAACACTCCAAGCAGCGCTCCAAGCAGCAGAACTGAGACTTGAACCTGGGTCTCCCGACTCCAAAGACCCTGCTCCACCGTGGCCCCGTCTTTCCATCCCTGAGCACCCTCCACTGCTGCCGAGGCCTGGGGCAGAGCCAGGGAGAGCCCGCAACTCCAGCGGGGCTGCCGAGAGGCCCTCACAAGTAGCTAAAGAACTTTCTCATTCCCGCCCAGGTTCCTGCAAGGACGTGCCGGCCGAGGACGCCCTGGGCGGGAGGGCATGGGGCTCCCGGTGGGCAGATGAAGACGGCTGAGGACCTTCTCTCCAGCAGCCGGAGCTGCCAGGGGGCCCCATGCTTCATCCCGAACCGCCTGTTCTCCTGCGAGGCCTGCGTTCCAAATCTTTGAGCTTCTGCCTTTCCCCTCGGCCTCCCGGGCTGTGATGGATTAACACGCCCTGTCCTCGCTGCCGTGTGTGTCGTCAAACCTGAGAACTCCCAGAGGCCGGCGGCTGCAGCTCCTGCACAAGCTGGTGGAGGGGAGGGGGGAGCATCCATAGCGGGAAAGGCAGGGGTTGGGGTGAGGGGGTGGGTCTGGGGGCGGCCGGTTTTCCAGAATCTTTTGCTCTATCCCCTGTCCCTAACCCTCTCTCTCTCCAGCCCAGGCATTGAGAGGTTTCCCCTTCCTCTTCCTCCCCCCAGCTCTTAGCGCCGGGGAGCAGTGCGTACGCCCCGTGCGGCCACCATGGGCGGTGGTGGGGATGGGATGGGATCGTAGTTGGCCAAGATGACAGTTTCATCAGGGGAGGCGGGGGGCGGCAGGGAGCTCTCACTTGTGAGCATGTCTTATCCCTGTCGCAGGATCACACATGCTACAACAATGACCCTGCCACCTGGAGCTTGAACAGCCCTCTTTATCTGCTACAGCACAGGCGTGTCTTGAGACAGCACGAAGTCCAAAGGACCCACAAAAATCTTCCCGCCAAAGGATGGTTGGCTGCTGGTCCCACGAAAGGCTCATACTCGTGGGCAATGGGGTGCCGTGGCCTAGGCAGTCCCCAGAGCACCCCAAGGCCTCTGGCGAGTTGAAATGGGCAGCTCGATGCAAGTGACTGCTCCATGTCAGGCTTTAGGCTTTGGGAAGAAAAGCAACCAATTTTTAAGCACCTACTGTATACAAGGTACTCAAATCTCTGCAAGGTAGATATTATTTTCCCCATTGTGCAGATGAAAAAAAAAAAAAAAAACAAGTTTCAGAGAGCTTAACTCACTTGCCTGATGACTGCAGCCTCCTTTGTTGTCAGGCATCACCGTCACTGAGATGCCTGTGGAGAGATGTCCTTCCCAGGAGGGGCTCGTGAGTGGGCTTAGCCCAGGTCTAATGGGAAGTGACAAGGGCAGAGGAGCTCAGGGGAGAAGGGAGGGAGGAGGGACGCAGGCAGCCGGAAGAAGGGGGAGGAAGGACCTCGGAAGCCCAGGTGAGGTCTGCGGCTGCCTGGCTGGCTCAGGGCCCTGTGGAGCTGGGAGCCGCCTCCCCAGACTGGGCTCTGCAGAGCCACAGGGCTGCGGGGACAGCAGCGTTTGCTCTGCAGACCAGCGAATCCCCTGCAAGTCCCCTCTCTGTGCTTCCAGGGTACGTGGTAGCAGCGTGTTCCCCAGCCCGCTCGTCCGGGGTGAAGCCATGTGATGGCTCCGGGCAGTGAGCTCTGGGCCACCATGCATCACTCCCCAATGCAGTGTCTCGGGGGGACCCTCAGGCACCCTCTTCCCCTGCTGGGAAGCTCCTGTCGAGACAGGTTGTAGGTGGCTGCAGGGAGCAAACCTTCCAGACAAACTGTAGGGACCGAGAGTGTGAGAAACACACCTGCGTTGTCCTGAGCCGGGCGCACGGTGGAGAGTTTTGTTGCTGCAGCGTAGCTGGGTCTAGCCTCCCAGGATTACAATGAAATGAGGAGAATGGAAATGGAAATGGAAATCCTGCCTATTTCCCAGAGAGGCACAGAGCACAGTGTCTCAGCGAAGCAGCTGAAAAGTCAGAAAGAAAGAGAGAGAGAGAAGGAAAAGAGGGAGGGAGGAAATGGAAGGAGAGAAGGAATGAAGGAAAGAGGGAAGGAAGGAAGGAA